TAAATTTTATGGCTATTGCTGAAAATATCATATAAAAATGTTCAAATATTACTCTAATCAATGTATTTTTAAATGAAGCAAATATTTTTATTAAGACAATTTTAGAATATTCACAATCAAAATTTGATTTCAATAACTTAATTTACAAATGTAATTATGACCTTATTAAAAATATAGATAGACATTAATGTATTGTTTGAGGAGATTCAAATTATTTTCTTTTGTATATAATATAAATAAAATAACTCCACTATAAAGAAATTATTTTGAAAAATATTACCTATTTTGAAATTATAAAATTTTACCCACTTTGTTAATATTTATATATAGTAATTATAAGAATTAATAGGGTTATAATTAAACTAGATCCAGGGTGAAGGCTGGCATTTTGTGGGTCAATTTTTATATTCTTACCTCCCTCAATTTAAAAATTTTGACCTGACAACCATGTCCTTGTTACAAGGCCCTTCACTAGTGTTGTTAAAAAACTTGATTTGATTTGTTTTTAAAAGATCCGATTAAGATTTTAGCCAAAATAATATTGTGTACGCCTCAAGATTTAGCAAGTAGAAACCCAAATCTTTCTGCATGAGCAAAATCACCAGGCTTACACAATTTTAGTTATAATATTAATTGGGTCATTTTTAAAAATCGACCCAAATCAGGCTTTTTACCAACACTACCCTTCATATTTAAATAGGAAATTTAAAAAATGACAACATAATTGGTTTACTTGATTTGTTTGTTTTTGCAAAACAATTTGATAATTGATTTTAGTGAGCATGCATTGATACTGTCTAATATTGAGTGGTCTGACTTTTAGATACATTTTATCAGACTAATCAGATTTGGACTTGATTTTAAAATTTATTTGGACTAGATTAGGACTATAAAAAATTCTAACTTATTTTTTTCCTAATTTTTTTTATGAATATTATTTTCAAGAATAATTATAAATGAATTTATTATCCTTCAGCACAAATATTTTTGATATTAAAATTGAATCTGATTTAGACCTTTGCTCAGATCTTAGAAAAAAAATTCTCAGTTCAAATTTATCAGGATAGATTTTTTATTTTTTTTCTTAGATTTGGCCTGACTTAAAAATAAATCCAATGCAGGGCTCTAAATTTTAACAAATTCTATTTAAGTAGTTAAAGAGAAATAAAATGATTAAATGGTAGATAAAGGGCATGACTAAAATACGCGTCCCCGAAAACTACGCGTCCCGGGTCAAAGAGGTTTAATTTATATAATATTAATTAAAAATCTTATTTAGCTTCATAAAATAAGTTAAAATATGTTTTATTTTAAAAAAAATGATATCTTAGTAAAATTTTTAAAAAATTATTTTTTTACATGAAAAAACTACGCGTCCCCGGTCAAGATACAATTTTTTTTAAATAAAAGCAGATTCATATTTAGCTCATTAAATGGATACAGAAAATGTTTTTTTTTGATTTTAAAAAAAGTGGTAACTTAGTAAAATTTTATAAAAACTAATTTTTTACATGAAAAAACTACGCGTCCCCTATCAAGATACAGTTTTTTTTAGAAAATAAAAGCAGATTCATATTTAGCTCATTAAATGGATACAGAAAATGTTTTTTTTTATTTAAAAAAGAAGTGTTAACTTAGTAAAATTTTGAAAAAACACTTCTTTTTTAATTTTTTGACTAAAATACGCGTCCCAACGCGTCCCCAGTCAAGATAGATTATTTTTATAAAAATGAATATAGAATCGTGTATAGTTTTTCAAGGAGATTACGAAAATGGTATTAAGAAATTTTTTTTTGACTAAACTACGCGTCCCCGGTCAAGATACAATTTTTTTTTAAAAATAAAAGCAGATTCATATTTAGCTCATTAAATGGATACAGAAAATGTTTTTATTGATTTAAAAAAGAACTGTTAACTTAGTAAAATTTTGAAAAAACACTTGTTTTTTTCATTTTTTGACTAAACTACGCGTCCCCGGTCAAGATAGATTATTTTTATAAAAATAAATATAGAATCGTGTATAGTTTTTCAAGGAGATTCTGAAAATGGTATTAATAAAAATATTTTAAAAAAAATTGTATCTTGACCGGGGACGCGTAGTTTAGTCAAATTTTCTGTATCCATTTAATGAGCTAAATATGAATCTGCTTTTATTTTTTTAAAAAAATTGTATCTTGACCGAGGACGCGTAGTTTAGTCAAAAAAAAATTTTTTCGAAAATTAATTTTTTTTAAAAAAAAATTTCTTAATAGCATTTTCGGAATCTCCTTGAAAAATCGGAATCTCCTTGAAAAACTATACACGATTATATATTCATTTTTATAAAAATAATCTATCTTGACTGGGGACGCGTATTTTAGTCAAAAAATTAAATAAGAAGTGTTTTCAAAATTTTACTAAGTTTTAACACTTCTTTTTTAAATCAAAAAAAACATTTTTTGTATCAATTTAATGAGCTAAATATAAATCTGCTTTTATTTTCTAAAAAAAAAAAAATTAGTTTTTATAAAATTTTACTAAGTTACCACTTTTTTTTAAATCAAAAAAAACATTTTCTGTATCCATTTTTTTTTCTCTTTAGCTTTCACCTTTTCTGGTGGTAAGCTCCTTCAACATCTCTCTCCACTTTATGTTATTAATACAATCTCTTTTATCTAATTTATACTTCTTTATATTGGCTCTAACTTTATGGCCCCATTGAAGTTTTGGCCTTCCTCTTTTACGTTTTCCCATCACTTCCAAACTCTTAACTTTATTTCCTATGTAGTTCATAGGCCTTCTCATTGTGTGCCCATACCACCTAAGTCTGTTTACCATTAACTTAGTCTTGATGGGCACTACCTTTAAACTACTTAGTATTCTTGTACTGTGCACTTTATCCTTTCTTGTTACCCCAGCAATCATCCTCAGCATTCTCATCTCCATGGTTTGTAGACTTCTCTCGTCTGATCCTTTGGTTGGCCATGTTTCCGAACTATATAGAATAGTTGGTTGTATTATGGAACTGTAAATTTTTCCCTTTAATTTGTGTGGGATTCTTTTATCAAATAGCACTCCAGATAAAGATCTCCACTTTAGCCACCCTTGATTAATCTTACTCTTTATCTCTTTTTCTATTGTGCCGTTTGTTTGTATAGTGGAGCCCAAATATTTGCAGCTTTCAATTGCCGATATCTGCCATTCATTTATATCAATACTCTCTATTTCATCTCTTCCTATCACCATATACTCCGTCTTTTCTCTATTTACTTTTAATCCGTGCGTTTCTAAGATATTTATCCAACTCACTAGTCTTTCTTTCATTTCATCCTTAGATTCGGCAAGTATCACAATATCATATTCCACGGGACTGTTTGAGCTATAGACTGTGCTTATACATCTATTACTGTAATGAAGAGAAGTGGGCTTAGAGCCGACCCTTGATGAACTCCTTCAGCTATTGTGAAGCCTGCTGAAGTACCTGTTGTGCTACGGACCATTGTTGTATGGCCCATATACATATCCTGTATTATTCTTATATATTTTTCGGGAACATTTTTGTGGCGTAGCGCCCACCAGATAAGTTTTCTTGGGATTCTATCAAAGGCGTTTTCTAGATCGAGAAAGACCATGTGTAGCTTTTTGTTCTTCTCCCTGTATTTTTCACTCATTTGCCTAATTGCATGGATAGCATCGGTTGTTGATCTTCCAGGCATAAAGCCAAACTGAGTCTCTCCTATTTGATTATATCTCTTAACCTTTTTTCTATTATTTTTTCGTATAGTTTTAGACAGTGTGACATTAGTTTTATGCCCCTGTAATTTTGACAATTATGTGGATCCCCTTTATTTTTGAAGATAGGAACTAGATAGCTCTGCTTCCATTTTTGGGGAACCTCTTCATTTCCAAGTATCTTATTGTATAGATTTGTGAGAAGATGTATTCCATCATCTCCTAGTGCTTTAAGGCTTTCTATTGGAATATCGTCTGGACCCCTAGCTTTGTTGTTTTTCATATGCTTGAGGCATGTGATTATTTCTTGTTGTGTTATAGGTTGTACAAGGTTTTGACAAGGGGAGTGTTCGTCTAGATGCAGTATATGCGGATTAAAATTGAGAAGCTCCTGAAAATATTCTCTCCATCTATTCATTATTTCTTTTTCCTTTATTATCAATTTCCCATCTTTATTTTTGATTACTTTCGGAGCTCCGTTTATATTCCTAGAGTTCTTTTCTCACTGTTTGGCTAATCTGTATATTTTATTTTGCCCTTCTTTGGTATGTAGATCTTTGTACATGTCATCGTATGCCATAGATTTGGCTCTAGCCACCACCTTTGTAGCTAATCTCTTGGATTTTTTGTATCTTGTCTTGTCATCTGCGTTTTTGGATTTGTACCATATTTTATAAAGGGCTTTTTTCTCCTGTATAGTGGTTTGTATCTCTTCATTCCACCACCATAGTTCTTTGTATGATTTGTTGCCTCCTCTTGTCAAGCCTAGTGTCGATTTGTCAGTGTCTATTAATCTGGATGAAAGGTCTGTCCACATTTTTTCACTGACTTGTGAGGAATTTTCTGTATCCATTTAATGAGCTAAATATGAATCTGCTTTTATTTTTTAAAAAAAACTGTATCTTGACCAGGGACGCATAGTTTTTTTTTTAAATTTTACTATAAGTTCACACTTTTTTTTTAAATCATAAAAAACATTTTCTATATTCATTTAATGAGCTAAATATGAATGCTTTTATTTTTTAAAAAAAATTGTATCTTGACCGTGGATGCGTAGTTTTTTCATGTAAAAAAATAATTTTTTATAAATTTAACTAAGATATCATTTTTTTTAAATCATAAAAAACATTTTTTAACTTATTTTATGAAGCTAAATAAGATTTTTAAATAATATTATATAAATTAAACCCATTTGACCGGGGACAAATAGTTTCCGGGGACGCATATTTTAGTCACACCCTAGATAAATAATAGTTCAATAAAATTATATTTAAACACTATAAACATACTGATTTTATTTCCAAGATTCATTAATTTTCTCATTTCTTCAGCACTATTGACTGGAAATGATAAAAGATTTTTAACATATACACCAATCTCAGGCCTTTCAACAACCTCCAATTTTTTATCATCTTTGTTTAGAAGATCTCTAACTTCTTCATTATAAATTTCAAGATAAGAAACCCTAACTAAAAAGCTAGTATATTATAAAATATAATAATAATTATATCTAAATTACTTTTTATTTACTCCAGAATTATAGATGTAATCAAATATATGTGAAAAAGAATTTGGTATTATTCCAAAATTTGAGTTATATCCTTCCATTGTATAGGTTTTACCTGTTCCAGTTTGACCATAGGCTAATATAGTTCCTATTTAAAAATATGAAATCTGTTTATTAGGAAATTCTAACCATTATATCCTTCTATAACACTTTCAACTAATGGACTAGCCACCATATTATATATAACTTCCTGTTCTGATGAAGGTCCAAAAATTTTATCAAAGGTAAAAGTTTTAATATCATTATTACTCTTGATAGTTATTGATCCATTATCTTCATTAAGCTTAAGGAGGATTTTTATAATATTTACCCTTATATTAACCTCTAAGACTTCATTAAATTTTTCAATCTTTTCCCTTTCTGTCAGTGGTCTACAACGAACCACGACTTTAACATTTTCTATATCTGTGGGATTCATGTCGGTTCCACCTCTAAATAGCAAGAATCAAAATAGCAAGGAATTAAATGAATGAAAATCTTAAGAAGCCTAATAATATATAAATTATTTTATAAATTATTAAAATGTAAATCATTTTATTATATTATTTTAATTATATAATTAAATTATTACATATATAAGTTTTATATATTAATAGTGTTGTATAAATTGTTATATATATAAATCATTTTAATATTATAAAACTGTTATTATAAAATATATTAGGCATAATTTTTATCTAATAATATTATAGTATTTTATAAATTATTAATATATAAATTGTTTTAAATTATAAATAAACACATATATCTTTTATAAATTTTAACTATAATTTTTCCATATTAATATTATGTTTATTATATGATATTATAAACATGTATATTGCAATTGTATTTAAATCATTTCTATATTATATGAGGGGGGGGGGGGGGGGGTATTATAATATAATTACAAATTTATATATTAAAATTTATATTAAATAAAGGAGAATACTAATAAGAAGCAATAGTGACATGCTGGGGAGAAGGTACATGTCATCATATCGCCTTTATGAATAGTGAATAAAAAATCATTTAGGGGTAGGAGGTAAGAGTTTTTTTTTCTCTATGTAGACGTTGATAAGGAGCAAATCATAAATTATTAGAAAAATGAAAACTAACTATACTACAATTTTTTCCTATAAAAAATTATAATTAAATATTAAAAATAAACCTAATAAGTTACGTATTAAATATTTTCAGAGATTGTTCTACAATATCCTCTCAAGCTTCCCCTCTTTTTTAGCTATGGCTACTCTAATTAAATGGCAGCGCTATTAATTAGCTACTATTTTTATAAAAGTAAAGTAACTAACTATCGCTATTTAAAAAATGTAGCGCGCTACTTTTAACATAGCTTATGGTGAATAGCTATAACAGTGACCAAACTAGGGAAACAATGAAAAACATTTATCTCTCATTTGATTTATTAAAACGGTAAAGCAGAATAATGATATTCGGCAGACAGAGCATGGCATGATGATTGTACTTCAGGAACATGTTCTTCCTTACAAAATGGCAAAGTTATGCAAATATAAGCTAACTAAACCCAATAGCGATTATCAAAATAGCGAGATATTAAATGATGAAAATGTAAAGAAGTTTAAATTATTAATATATAAATAATTTTATAAATTATTAATATGTAATTATAAATTATTAATATAAAAATCATTATAATATTATGAGACTATTGCTATATAATTATAAATATATCCCCATATAATTTTTATCAGTGACGAAGCGTCAAGTTTACTAATAGGGAAGCAATCAAAAAAATTTTTTATTTTAGTCAAACTCAAACCATAAAAACATTAAGATTTATAAATAAGTGGTATTCATCTTATTTTTGAGTAAAATGATCAAGTACTGCATAATAAAAATAGATTTTAAATTTTAATAATTTTTTTCAATCGAAATCAAAGATAGATTTAATAATGGATTTTGGCTCATCCTGTACAATTATTAAACATTAATTAAGGATTTTAAAAACGAAAAATTTTTTATTTTGAAAAAGTAAGGAAAAAAATATTAAATAAAAAATTTCCTTTTATTTATTAAAAAAATAAGCATTTTTTAATTTGCTTCCCCAATGCTTATATTTTAATGGTAAAATTACACAATACCATGGCATGATTTTCTCTTTATTTATTAGAAAAAATAAGCAATATTAAATTTGCTTCCCTCATGTATATTTTTTTTAACGTAGTAAAAATAATAGTAACATTTTTAACGTAGTAAAAATAATAGTATTTCTTAATATACTAAAAATAATATTATTTTTTTAACGTTATAAAAATTATATTAATATTTTTAAGTTATAAAAATTATGTTAATTTTTTTAACGAAGTCAGTTTAATTTATTTAGCATAGTAAAAAGATTATATTAAGTTTATTTAAAAATTTTATAAGAAAAATTTCAAGGGAAGCAATGCCTCCCTGCTTCCCTTGCTTCTATGGACGCTTCGTCACTGATTTTTATACAAATTTTAAACGATTAATTATATAAAAAGTTGTAGTATATATTATAAAACTTTAATTATATAATTTAAAATAAATATTACAATTTTGTAAATTATGGCTATACTATTTAATTATTATTATATATAAATATTTTAATTCTTTATTAAGTAATTTAGTGTTGTTAAAAGCCCGCTTTCGATTTTTTAAAATGGTCCCATAAGATTTTATTCAAAATAATTTTATGTAACCTAACAAATCTTCTTGCCATCTATGCGCAAAATCTTCAGACAGTGACGAAGCATTAAATACTACCAGGTAGTGTTGTTAAACGGCTCATTTTGAGCCGATTTTTAAAAACGGCTGACTCAATATTTTAGCCAGATAAGTATTGCCTAAGCCTCAAGATTTCGACAATATATGTTTGGATCTTTGTTCCTTCTATGAGCAAAATCTTCAGGCTTGCGTAATATTTTTCTGGATGAAATATTGAGTTAGCCGTTTTTAAAAATCGGCTCAAAACGAGCCGTTTAACAACACTACTACCAGGGAAGTAATAGAAAATCATTTTTTTTTTATAAGTCTAACCATACAAAAAATTAATATTTATAAATAAGCAGAATTCGTCCTTGTTTTCATATTTTGCGCCTGGAATCTATCATATTTTTAATTAAATTTTTGGCAAATGATTTTAATTGAATTATCGACTTCAAATAAGCGGTTGATTCTTCATGCTGTAAAACTGCCTTTAAAAAATTATTCATATCCAAACATATTTTTCCTTCAAGAATAATAGGCGACCAACAATATAAGGATATAGAAAATTCACATCCAGTGAGCCATTCATATTTTTCATATTAATCCTTTTGGCTTTTATCTTCCTATTAATAATCCATTGCTTCACATCAAAAATTCTTAAATTAAATCATTTTTGATAAATTTTCAATAATACAATTTGCAATTATTAGACACAGATAAAAATATAATATAAAAATATTCTCAACCTCTTTTATTTATTTAAAAAATAGGCATTTTTTTATTTACTTCCCCAACACTTATTATTTATAAGTAAAATTACATTCGCATGATTTTCTCCTTATTTATTTTAAAAAATAGATAATATTAAATTTGCTTCACTTATGTAAATTTTAAGGTAGTAAAAATAATAGTTATTTTTTAGAAATAGTATAAATATATATTTTTATTTCAGAATTAGAGTGTATGCTTCCTGGGGATAGGCAGTAAAAAATCTTTTTCGGGTGGAGTTAGGGTTTTTTTCTCTCATGTAGAGGTAGACGCTGATATAATTTATTAGAAAAATGAAGATTAAATAAACACTCACAAAAAAATATTTTTTTTAAATCAACCCAAATCGGAAAAGAATCATAAGACACCACTTGAACATGCGTGTTAAACAATCCTGTGAGTCACTAGAATTTTATAAAGATTCTATAATTTTTACAATATTTTGGCAGAATAAAAAACTCTTTTAAATGTTTTGGTCTTTCTTTTTATAAAAATTTTCACCCAATCGTATTTTATCAAAATTTTTATAAGCAGTTAAAAATATATTTACATAATGTTACGACTATACATTTTAAAGAAAGGTTTAATGAATGAATCATCAGTTTATGTATTATTATACGTCATTGCCCTCTATAAGCAACAATTTTAGGTCAAAGCATCTACTAAATAAGTATTTTTATTACTGAAATATGTATGCTATATGCATGAAAAAAAATTATTTATAAATTTTTATATTAAAGTTACATTATTATACAAAATAATTATAAAAATGTAAATAAAGTATACAATATATAGCAAGAGAATAATATAAATGTAAATATATATAAGAAATATAAATAACGGGTTATGATTGTTGTTTTATAAAATATGAAACATTATCTAAAAAATGATATATTTCATTTGTACGCTCGTATATACGAGTTAGATTATCAATGTTAATATTTAATTGATCGAATTTTTTATTTTTTCTCCTCACGTTCAACCCACTATTAATTTGTAAGACCTTAAGCGCACTCGAATGTTGGTGTCTTTTTAAAATATTTATCAGACAATAAATATTCGGATGAGCCACGTTTGTTTTTCTCTTGAGGGCATGATGATACCCATCCAGGTGGTTGTTAGTTCTAGGGCCGTCAACTTGATACCTAAATTGATTATAAGTAAAGTTAATATTTAAATGTTTTAATTACCTGGTCCATATATTTCGGGGGAATATGGCATTAACTCCGAGCCATGTAAAATCCATAAAATTTTTGAGCAAAGGATATTCAGCAGACAGAGCATGGCATGATGCCCGTACCTCGGAAATATGTTCTTCTTTGCAAAATGACAAAGTGGTCATTCGTCTAACAACTTGATGAATAGTAGTATTATGCAAATAACTGCTAACTAAACCCAGCGCCGGACATTTACGCCAAAGAGCCTGGGAATAGTGAAAAAAACAGCCTAAATTTTTTTAGTTATAATATACAATGTTATAAATAAACCTTTTATGAACATATTGGGAAAAACAAACCTAAGCGCCGATATACCTGCGGCCTCGTAATCAGTTTGTCCAAATCGAGGTTTGAATCGGATATTTTTCATCGAGCAAAATTGCAAGATAATTTGAAATAATTCAATATATGTCCCTCTATTTTTATCGGGGAGGAGGGCATATATAATCGGTATCATAACTTCTTGATACATTATATGGATACTATACAATTGACAGTACAGTCGAGGAACGACATAAAAGGTGCCGTCCATGTAAATGCTATCACCATCACATATTTCTACAAGTTTTAGCATTTCACATGTATTAAACACCAGCATATTATTATTATCATTATTAATTTAAAAATTCTCCCCCTTATTTGTGGTGATGTATTCTGGTAATAATACTAGTTCATCCACAGATTGAGGCAAAATGGGCCGATTTTTTTGTAACAATCTGTCAATTGTACTCTTAATTGAAACAAATGAGGGCATTGCCTCTGGATACATTTCGATGGAGGGCGTTTCCAGGCATCTTTTATTCAAGGCCTTTTTATAAATATTGTGCCTTGTCTCTAGAGGATTTTCGGCAACAATATCCTCTAGAACCTTGTGAGTTCTCAGTTTTTCAAACTGAACGATTTCATTTTGGTGTTCATGCAAACCAGAGGTTGTGTAAATTCCATCAAATTTACATGAAGCCTTGCAGCCAACCTTTCTGCAACGATAGTGTATTCTATCATCTTTTTGATAAGCATATCGATATAAATAATTTTGGAAAAAGAGAAGTAGTTTTCCTTTTTGACATTTTATAAATTGAGGATCTTAATAAATATAAAAATCATATATTAATATGATTAATATGGAGCTCTAATATTTATGAAAAGATCAGACAGAACCAGATACTTAAAAAAATAAATAAACAAATAAATAATTATTGATTTATTATTTATCTTTAAAAAAGATGTAATATTTTTTTAATTATTCCAAGGTCATGCCTAAATATAATTAAAAAATATCCTAGCTATATTATACATCAAGGGTTACTATAATATGTCACATTCTATATTTAATTTTTTTTTTTTTAAATTAAAAAAAAATAGCCTTATAAACATATTTTTACCACTAATATTTTGATGTAAATCTATTAACACATTGGCTACTTCTAAAGGGAGATCACAATTACCTATACATATAATTTAGTAATTGTCAATTTGTGTATTGAATAATTTCGATTCCAACATCTGAATTAATAACATGATAAGCACCTGAATTATTTTGATTTGAGATAAAAGTTTGAAAGGCTATGGCAAAACCAGAAGTTTGAGGGGCTAATGTAAAATTTGTAATTTGTGGAGCTAATAAATATAAGTTAATGTTATAAATAAAAACATCATAAATACCTTGATTTGGTTAATTTTAATAAAAGTATACAAAAAATACCTTGATATGTAAGGCTAGGGCAAATGAACTTGGAGGTAGAGGGGCTAATGCTAAATCTTTAAATCAATGTTAAAATTATTGTAAGGATATATATATATATAAATACCTTGATTTGCATTAGAAGTTTTAGGGGCTATTGAAACTTGGGCTAAAAATTTTAAGTTAATTTTAATAAAAGTATACAAAAAATACCTTGATGTGTAATGGCTAGGGCAACTGAACTTGAAGGTGGAGGGGCTAATGCTATATCTTTAAATCAATGTTAAAATTATTGTAAGGATATATATATATATAAATACCTTGATTTGCATTAGAAGTTTGAGGGGCTATTGAAACTTGGGCTAATAATTTTAAGTTAATTTTGATAAAAGTATACAAAAAATACCTTGATGTGTGGCTAGGGCAACTGAACTTGAAGGTGGAGGGGCTAATGCTAAATCTTTAAATCAATGTTAAAATTATTGTAAGGATATATATATATATAAATTACCTTGATTTGCATTAGAAGTTTGAGGGGCAACTTGGGCTAATAATTTTAAGTTAATTTTAATAAAAGTATACAAAAATACCTTGATGTGTAATGGCTAGGGCAACTGAACTTGAAGGTGGAGGGGCTAATGCTAAATCTTTAAATCAATGTTAAAATTATTGTATGGATATAATAAATACCTTGATATGCATTAGAAGTTTGAAGGGCTATTGAAACTTGGGCTAATAATTTTAAATTAATTTTAATAAAAATATACTAAAAATACCTTGATGTGTAATGGCCAGGGCAACTGAACTTGAAGGTGGAGGGGCTAATGCTAATGCTAAATCTTTAAATCAATGTTAAAATTATTGTAAGGATACCTTGATTTGCATTAGGAGTTATGGCTGCTATCAAGTTTTGACATTCTAAAGAATGTTGGATGGTGATAATTAAATCGAGACCAATCATTAATTTGGCTCTACCACCACATCTTTTGCGACAAGTAAGGTAAACGGCCTTTTTACCACTTGTATGGGCCAAATATTCATGCCCTTAGTAGCATATATATTCCTTTTTCTTCTGTGTTTTCTGAAAACAAAAATTATAAATATATAAAATGGTTTATTACTTTTATTTCAAGTTGTTTATATTTAAGATAATTTTTAAGGTTATCAGCTACAGTTGGAATCATATCAAAATATGGCGGCCATTTTTGTGAATATTTGTGTGAGTATTAGTGTAAATATTCTCATTTTTGGCTATTATGATACTTGCTATTTAGGTCTCTTACCAAGAATTTGCAGGATTAATGAATATTCCACAGCTGATTTCGCGTCAAAAAAAAGATTTGCCTAACTTTGATCGTAAAGTCATTTGATCGTAAATTTTGTCCATTTTTTTCTGATTGGTCTATTTAATCGCGGTAAATTAAAATCATTTATAACCCTAACCCTAACCTTAACCCTTACCCTAAACCTGACCTATAAATTAAAAAAATCGTCCATTTTGACCAAAAATGGACAAAATGGACCATTTTACGATCAAAATAATACGATTAAAGGAGGCCCTCCCAAAAAAAAGATGGTAAATACAAACTAGACAATTTTAATATTTTTTTAAATATTATTTTTAACATTTTTTTTAATTTTAATAAATTTAGACAATATTAAAATACTAATAGTTTAATTATTTATAGAAGTAAAAAAATTTATTAATAGTTTTAATATAGTTAAAAACAAATTAAAATGATAATTGATGCATTATAAACTAATAATATAGAAATAATATTTAATTATATATATATATAACAATTATAAATAAAATATTTAAATATATATAAAGTAACATTTATTAGTAACATTTATTAGTAACATTTATTTATATATATTATGGAAAGAATATTTAAATATATCATAATCCTCGATATAATTATTTTATTAATATAAATGACTTCAGTTAATAATAGAATATAGATAATCTTGCATCTATCACGTTGACTTGCCAGGTACAAAAGAAAGGTTATTAACAAACTGTGAGATGACAGGTATAAAGATTTAATATGACGTAATATAATATAAATTTTTATCCATTATTTCTATTTTTATCTAAGGTCGATTGTAAAAACTTATAGTGGAAAAGTATCTTCAAGATATATTTTTTTAATATGCCCCACTGAGTGTTTTTGAGAAGATATCTTAAAGCTCCCTGCCTATTTAGTTTTTCTCTCCCTTTCCTCATTCTATACTGTGTATCTGCGTTAGACTCCAAATATTTTAATTATCATCTTCAGACAGTTTTTTTAAATTACCATAGGCAAGTTTCTTTCCCTGGATAGGCAATTCATCAAAGGCAGCGTCTACATGGCAGAAATTTTGCTATTCCCCTAAAAAAATTGAAATATATTTATGATTAATTCTATAATCATATTCTTTTTATATAATATAATTAATTTTGAAATTTTAATTTAAATATCTGTATTATAAATCTAGTTTTCAAAATAAATGAAAATATCGACGATAGAGATTAATATTGAAGATAATTTTTGTAAAGTAATTTTCCTGGAAAATGATGATGATATGAAATATTATTTTCCTGAATTCGCAAAATATTTTAATCTCGATAAAAATAATTAGCAAAGGGTATAAATTTATTTTGTACCGGAAGGTTTTTTTATCAAACAAGACTAGTAACATCAACGAGGAATAAAAGTAATATATCAAATAAATTTAATATCAATGTGTATAACCCAAAGGTGTATTTCTAATAATTTTTGAGCATGATAAGTATATTTGAAAAATATAAGATATTATAAGAATTATATTATAAATTAAAAATTACAATAAACAATTAATATTAAATTTTCATTTTATCATCAGACTCAATATTTCATAAATTATTTTAAACTTGTTTAAAATAACCACTCATCTATAAATATATTTATTATTTTATCAAAACATGCTAAAAAAAACACTTAAAGATGGTATGATTATATTATTTTAATAAAATATTTAATACTCTTACGTGTTCTAGTGTACATTTTTATTATAAAAGAATTGAAAATGTAATTAAATTTATTTGCATTATTTGTAAATTACAATGTTCTCCTCACCCATAAGCAATTAGTTCTTTATCTTGTAAAGAAATCCATATTGTTTAATATAAATCTCGTCTCAATTTTAAAACAAGGAAAAAACGTATTGCTTTCAGTTTAAACAAAGATGCGGTGGGTTAAAAAGCGTACGGCAAACGCAAACCCTCAATTTGTGCTCACTATAATGCTCTTCCTCAGATTCAGGAGGATGGTTGTGAATATGTGTCAATGTAAACTGCATATTTAATAATGTACCTCTTGCCGTACAATGACTTAGTCTACATTTAAATAAAAATCGTATATATAGATATTTATTTAAATATAATAAATTGCGTTTTTTGGGGGAAAGAATATGGCTGTTCTACATTTAAATATGAGAATTGAATGTTATTAACTGATATTGGTAAAGTTACAGAGCTATCAGCTGCAATGGAGATAGCGATTACAATTTCTTCATCTATAAAACTTTCGTCCAAAAATGGTAAAACAGGGAGATCATCTTCTCGATCTTCTTGTGCAGGAGATCAAAGAAGGCACTATCTCTTGATTTCTTCCCAACGATACTTAAGGAAAAATATATTTAAAAATTTTGATTAACTATTTATAATAAAATTTAAAAAAATATATATTAACAAAATTTTGATTAACTATTTATAATTATATTTAAAAGATAATATGAAAATTTTGATTAACCAAAAGCACTTTCCACATCTTCTTGAGTAGGATTTCATGGAAAATATTTTTACAAAAATATGAAATATATTTTTACAAAAATATGAAATATATTTTTATTAGTTTATATAAAATAAAAATATAATAAATTACATGTATTGTATAACCTTAATATAAAAGCATGGTAATAATTTATTCCAAACAATTTATAAGTAATTTATTTATAAAAAGTAAGTAGACATATAGTTGATTTTACTCTATTATATAGAATTAATTATAAAATACTAGGTAATATTCCACTTTTACAGACATATTTGACAGTTAGAGAATATATTACAGTTAATAATTTAACAAATTTTACTAATCAATGCTCTTGATATTAAATATGCAACAATTTGCATTCAATTATTTAACGCCATCTATTTATTTAAAGAAAAATGATATTTAAATTTAATTTTCATATTATTCATCCCACAATGTCTTTAAAAGATATTTTCTGATGTCCTTATCAATATTTTATAGTTATCTGTAAAATAGATTATTCGCTATATAGGTAAAAATTACTTGATTGTCATTTGATAATTAGATATACTGTAAATCTACGACATATAATATTCCACTGTTTGTATTGTGCTTTAATATTTTTTTAATTTATGATTTAATTTTATCAATAGTTTTAAAATTATATTTAACTTTTATTAAGAATAATAAATTAAAATTACTCACTTTATAAAAAATTATATTTGATATATATTATTTATTTTATTTATGGATCTATTATTAATAATTATAATACATTTCACTTCTGTCTTAAGACTTATCTTTGGCTTATATTCCATTTAATAAAAAACATTTTTGGTTCATTTTATATATATATAAATTTATTTTCCCAAAAATCTATAAATTATGATGAATAGTTTTATAAAAAAATATCAACTTTTACATTATTTCTTTTAAATTATTATTTAAGATATATGCATACATATTTGAGGGTCAGGGAGTGGGGGGAGGAGTAAGGGGGATATTTTTTATTAGCTAAAAATGATATTTACAAAAAGTGATAAATTTCTGAAGGGGGGGGGGTGAATTTCCCTTTGCCCCCCCCCCCGGCTACGCCTATGCTTCCCAACAATACTTAAGGAAAAATATATTAAAAAATTTTGATTAACTATTTATAATAAAATTTAAAAGAAAATATATTAACAAAATTATGTTCAACTATAATAAAATTTAAAAGAAAATATATTAACAAAATTTTGATTAACTATTTATAATAAAATTTAAAAGAAAATATATTAATAAAATATTGATTAACTATTTATAACAAAATTTAAAAGATAATATATAAGAAAATTTTAATTAACTATTTATAATAAAATTTAAAAGATAATATTTCATATTATTTTGTAAAATACTTCCTATTCTTGGAGTCAAATACTTGCAAATCTCTAGAAAATAATTAATCACATCTTGTATATTAAATAATTTACCATTGCATTCTGCTGTCATAGTGAATACGTTATTTAATGTATAACCTTTACCATGGCAGGTTGGTGATGTACAAATATAATAAATTTTATTTTTGTAATATTTTGATCTTCTATATAAAGAAGGTATCATTATTGGTGAAAAGGTCAAAAATTTGGTTATATAAAAAATTTTCGAAATATTGAAGCGAAATGGTATAATGACAAAATAAATACAAACGGATCGGACCGATACCATTATTAATCGATTTTACACCTGATTTATTATTTGACAAAAGGCCGATAAATCAATAAATATTTACTAAATTGCTGATAACTCAGATTCTAGTCTTCTATTATAGAATTGCAAACAATATAAAAAAATATACAATGATATTGACAATATTTTTAATGGCAAATTTAAAAACTGATATATATTAACTTTTAAAGTATGAAAATATTAAAAATGCTAGTTCTTTTTCATGATTGCTGGTGCGGGTCGGTTTGATCGAAATCTAGCTTGATGGACACTTTGTAAATGGAGTATTCTCCATTAGCATATGCCTTTGCTAGCAATTAAAAATGTGAATATTCGAGCATTTTATTTTGGTAAATTTTAGTAAACAATATAAATAGACATGAGTTAACAAATATTTAGGCATTTTTATGTTGTCTGGTAACACGTAGCTTATAAATGACCTTTTTATAACAAATTTTATTATCTCTAGTTACATATTGAAAAGGATATTTATGCCAATAATTAGGTATATTTTAGGGATTTAATTTTGCTAATTTATTTTTATAAATATTCGTGAATTGTTTATTTATATAATAAATATTGTATTTAATTCTTACCCGCCATTCATATTGGAAATCACTAACTTCAAATAGTCATATTGTTTAATATTTTCACCTAAAATAAATTGGTCTATATACAGTTAGGTTCTTGAAAATCAACACACCGAATCGTGAATGC